AAAAAAAAAAAAAAAAAGTGGAAGCAAGCTAGACGCCATGGCTCATGCCTGTCATCCCGACACTTTGGAAGGCTGATCTGAGAGGATTGCCTGAATCCAGGGATTCGAGACCAGCCCGGGCTGTTTGGCAAGACCTCGTTTCTACAATAAGTTTTAAAAAATTATCGGAGTATGGTGGCCTTATGCCTGTAGTTCCAACTACTTAGGAGACTGAGGTGGAAGGATCTCCTGAGCACTCCATGTCAAGGCTGCAGTACCTGTGTTTGTGCCACTGTACTTCAGCTTGGGTGACAGAATGAGACTCCAACTAAAAAAAAAAAAAAAGTTGAAGCAACAGAATACTACATATTTTAGGGCAGAGTGCAAGGAAGTGTTGCTCTGGAGGTCTTTGGTGCATAGGTTTTGTAAGCCACAATAAAGAAAGGGTGGCATATTCTATTAAAGGGGTGGATTTTTCCAAGAGGTGGATGGGCAATTCTTGGAATAGGGGGTCGCCCAATTTATTACTATAAATGGGCAGTGTTGGAATGGTCATGGTGCTGGAGGGTATGTCATTTAGCATGCTAATGAGCATAAAATGAAGATAAAGGTTAAAGCAAGTCTACTTCCCCTTTCATGTGCTTCTTATTGATTAGCCCTTTAAAAAAAAAATTTAAAAAGCAAGTACTTGGTTACTTGTGCCCATGCCCAGGGAGATTCCCCAACTGTGCACTGTCTGATGGTCAGCTCTCAACCACAAACATCCTAAATAGGTTGTAGCAGACATATTATTTATGTATCTGTTGTGGAGTTGGAGTCTTGCTCCATCGCCCAGGCTGGAGCACGCTCCCAGCCACCCCAGTGTCGACCTGCTGGGCTCTGGGGATCCTTCCACCTCAGTCTTCCCAGCTGGAACTACAGGCACGCTCTACCACACCCGGCTAATTTTTTGTTTTCTTGTAGGGACAGGTCTCGCCATGTTGCCCAGGGTGGTCTTGAACCTGCAGGCTCAGGCAATCCACTAGCCTTGGCCTCTCAAAGTGCTGGGGTTACAGACTGAGCCACCGAGCCCCATCAGGCATGTTATTTTAAGTTTTTTTTTAAATTTAATCTTCTAGCAGTCCTCGAATTGGGGCAGTCCTATAAAGGTTCTCATAGGTTTTTTAATTTTCCTACAGTCTGTTATAGCCCTGATATTTCTCTACTCTAACATGCCTACTCTGTAAATAAGAGACATTAACTCTCAGTCCAAGACAGATCAAACAATCCTCTCTAATAGCAATACAATAAAACTGTAAATTAACAGCATGATTTAAAACAACATTTCTGCTGTTTTTTTTAAAGCTTTCTATTTAACAAACATTGAATGAAATGGGAATATATGGACAATCCTGTAGACAACACTTTATACAATAATTTATGGGGCCAGGTGTGATGGCTCATGCCTGTAATGCTAACACTTTGAGAGGCTGACACAGGAGGATTGCCTGAGCCCTGTAGTTTGAGATCAGCCTGGGCAACATTGCGAGACCTCATCTCTACAATAAATAAAAAAATTAGCCAGGCATGGTGGTGCACGTTTGTAGTCACAGCTATTACGGAGGCTGAGATGGAAGGATCACCTGAGCTCAGGAGATCAAGGCTGCAGTAGCCATGATCGTGGCACTGCACTCTAGTCTGGGTGACAGAGTGGGGACTCCAACTCAAAAAAATTATGGAGAAAACTGAAAGCAGTGGTCACAGGAAATTTCATAATCTTAAGTAAGTATAGCAATAAAAGCAAAATAAAACATGCAAAGTAGACCAGGCACAGTGGCTCATACCTGTACTCCCAGCACTTTGGCAGGCCGAGGCAAGAGGATTGCCTGAGTCCACAGGTTCAAGATGAGTCGGAGCAACATGGCGAGACCTCGTCTCTACAATAAATAAAAAAATTAGCCAAGTGTGCTAGTGCACACCTGTAATTCCAGCTACTTGGAAGACTGAAGCAGAAGCATTACCTGAGCCCAGCAGGTCAAGACTGCGGTGGCTGTGAGTGTGCCACTGCACTCCCGACTGGGTGACAGAGTGAGACTCTGACTCAAAAAAAAAAAAAGTGAAGTAATGAACAATCTGACAATAAAAAACAAAGTAATCCAAAAGAAAGCAAATATTAAAGATAAAAGCAAGCACCTAGACAAATCAAGAACAGAAAAGACTAATGCTAGGAATCAACTTGAAATAAGTGACATATGTAAAACACTCCATGTGTAGCAGGAAGACAGAGAGATTGTGACACTGAGACTATTATAGGAAGTGGCACTTTATTACACTGGCCATCCCAGCGGGCCCAAGAGGCTAATGTGTCCAAATCTAATGTGCCCCAGAACGAGAGTAGTGGGGTCTTACCCTTGTTTAGTAAGGGAGGGGGTCGTGTTGAGCGATTACCTCCTTAGGAATTTACAAGGTGGTGCTCAGCAAAATCAGATCTTTTAAAGAACAAATGGTTTCCAGGAATTGCTGGGTTGTAAACCATCAATTTCAGAAGAGGGGTTTTGGATAAGTCTGTGAATTAGTTACTCTTTTGCATTTCCATGAGAACCATCAGTCTCTAGCCATTTGGCTTTTTCAAACAAAACCAGCTGGGTGGGTCTTTAGAGCTTGCTGCTTGGCTTTCAAAAGGAAATACCTTTAACTGCTACCAATCCCCCCTTTCTGCCACATCACATGTAAGGACTCTTTTTTTAGTTGGAGTCTCACTCTGTCATCCAGGCTGCTGGAGTGCAATGGCAGACTCACAGCCACCCAGGTCTCAACCTGCTGGGCTTAGGTGATCCTTCCGCCTCAGCTTTCCAAGTAGCTGGAACTACAGGTGCATGCTACCACGCCCGGCTGATTTTTTTATTTATTGTATAGACAAGGTCTCCCTTTCTTTTTTATCTGTCAGGCTATCTAGATGTTTGTCAATCTTTTATATCATTTAAATGGTTTTATTGATTTTCTTTATTATTATCCACTTTTCTTTTTTTTCTTTTTTTCGAGTTGGAGTCTCACTCTGTTGCCCAGACTGGAGTGTAGTGGCTGCTCCTGGCCACCGCAGCCTTGACCTGCTGGGCTCCAGCGATCCTTCTGCCTCAGCCTTCCAAGTAGCCGGAATTACAGGCATGCGCTACCGTGCCCGGCTGATTTTTTGATTTATTGTAGAGATGAGGTCTCACTGCCTAGGCAGGTCTCAAACCCGCGGACTCAGGCAATCCACTCACCTCAGCCTCCCAAAGGCACGGGATTACAGGCTGAGCCACCCAGCTGGCTATTATCCACTTTTCTGTCTCACTGGTTTTGTTCAGAAAACAGAGAAGCCATGACACCAAGGCTATCTTAGGAAGTAGC